CCTCCTTTCCGGCGACGCTTCGATCCGAGATGTTGTTTCCATCGAATCCACCGGGCTGCTTCACAAAGACGAGGCAAGCTTTCTAGACATGTTTCCTATCTTTCTTTCCAATGATTTGGACTGAGAAGAAGGAGCGAGCTTATGGCGCAAGGAAGTCGCCAATTGCGTTGGACAGACAACAAAATAGTGGCGACATGATTCCGCCTTTAGAAATGCTCCACTTCCTGGCCAATTACGCGTGTGGTCAGGGGAAAATGCAAAGTTCTTAGGAGCCACCACGTAGAAACACTTTGTGTGTGCAGCCACTTTGAGCGCACTTGCTCCGAAACAGATCCCCATAGGGGTGATGAGCAGATGCAGCAGTTGGTCAGGTGGTAGTGGATTGATCTTTGCTGCCTGTGTGTGAAAAGCCAACTTTCATTCAACAGTTCCTCTAAAGTGATGGCAAAGGTGAAACAAGTTGATGATGGAAAGAGCTGTAGCATTTCAAAAGTGGGAAAAGGTTGAATTAAATCCTTATACACAACCTTATAATAGAAATAAGGGACATACTTGATAGTTATTATTTCAAACGGATTATTTTGTATATGGGCAAAACTACCTGATTGGACAACAAGGACAGGCACCGACCGCGCGAACAGCAAATGCAGGAGCATCATTTCTTCTTCAGAGAGGACAGCATTTCGCTGTGGGGTGGTTTGGCACCCACAATTACTGCAAAACCAGGACGGTCACAGGGAAAACGCTTGGAGTGTTCCCACTAAGGGCTTGGGCGATGCGAGGTCGCTGTTCGACTGGCCTGGCTCCGAGAATGCATGAAAGAAGCCGAGACAGACATCCGTGGCGGGATTTGGACGCGGTTTAACTGTCGGGCACTCGATCAATAGAGGGGAAAGAAGCAGAGCAATTTTTGATTTGTTTCCTGCATTTTCTTGGAGTTGGTTATGGACACCGAGCAGTGCATGTAGTGTAGACTGTGTAGTGTATGTTGCATCTCCTAGGCTCCTAGCTAGCTTAGCCAGGGTAGAAAGAAACTGTGAAGAGCTAATAAGTCCAGGTAGCTTTTTTAGCTAGGCGTTCAGGGAGGCGCGCACTTGGGTTATGGGACTGTTGGAGCTGACTTTACGATACGAATACGAAAGGCGAATGAAAAGGATGCAACAAAAGCCGACCTTCTTCAGCCCTTCACATGGTTCAGTGGCGTACGTAGTAAGCAGTGCGTCATGCACGTCATGGGCACTGAAAGTCTGAAACATAATCCAAGCGTACCAGCAGCCTAGCAGACCATCGATCGGTGCGTGCAAGTCCAACGACGTGGAGCATTCAGGAACCGATCCAGAGATGCGGTGGTCGATGATGGGCCGATCTGGCCGTACGAAGCACTGCCAGACCGCCAGACGTCCAAAGTCCAAACCAAAGGCGTATGGTTCCGGTCGAGATCATCATGCGGCTCCCTCCCCCGGATGCCGGGCAGCCGATGCTGTGGGAAAGAGATGCTGCTCGCCACTCGAGAGGCAGTGCATCGACTGGATTTCATTATCTGTTTAGCATGTTGGAGGAGGAGCAGCGTACCGCTCTTGCATGGAATGGGGATCGAGTGGCGACACGATTGCGGAACGGAGTTCAGTCACCGTGGCGACGTGCAGGATGACGGACATGGCGGAAGCGTAGTGCGACCGCAGCTACGACGGACAGGGCGGTCGATCTGTTGACTATTGGCACAACATCGCCGGCCTGCGTCGTTTCGTCGAACATCCTGTGCGCGTGCGCGGCAAGCTGGACCGTGGCAGATCACCGCGAAAGGCCATGGCGGAGCAAGCATTGTGGACGCGCGGTGGTGCACGGAAACGCGACCAATGAGAGCTTGTAACTGATTGTAGGCGCAGTAGATGAGATGAGATGAGCTGAGCTGAGCCGGGTTCGCGGGAGTCGGCGAGCGGGCGCCGGGGTTGCGCCGGAGTAGGACCGGAGGAGGGATATGAATCCAACTTCCAAGTGGACTGAGTGGGCTTCGCGTTTGTGGGCCTATGGGTTTCCCATGGAAAATTTGCACACGTGTGGCTGGGTCCTCCTCCTCCATGGAACGTATTCGGCCACATTCGGCTCCCGAATTCTTTTCTGTTATATACAGTATCATTTTCCCGGTAAAACATGCAAACAGTACGTCAGCCTCATGTGGCCTTGCAACCAAGCCCCTTTCGAGTGATTTAAATTACGATTTTTTTTTACGAAAAGCATCACTAGATGCCTCCAGAAATTACATAATACAGTTTGGACTCTCAAATGATTGCAGGACGGCCAAAGACTTTTGCAAATTTTCCCAAAAACAGAATACTATGTTTTTTTTCAGTTGAAAATTTGAGCAATCAATTGAAGTAGCTTTTTTTTGTGGGTAAAACACATCTATTAGTTAACCAGAACATTATGTTTCATAATAATGATAAAACTTTATATTTTAAACTGTCCAAAAAATTAAAAAATCTCCATGGTTTCACAAAAAAAATCACGCTTTAAAAATATTATTGAATTAAATTTACGTATATTGAAAAAATATCAATATGTTTGAAAATACCTTTCCAAAATGTTCATATGTTTGGAAAAAAGATGAACTGACAAGAAGGAAAAAAATATGTTTGTTCAATTTTTTTTAAAATGATGTATTTCCAAAAAAATAAAAGAAACAAAAAGAAAAGGAGACACAAAAAAAGAAACAAAAGGACAGGACATTCCCCACGGCTTGCTTCTTTCTCAGATAATCTGTCTCATGTCGCGACTTTAGATTCGGGTGTTAGCGGTGTTGGGCCTCGATAAGAAATATATGTGCTTTAATTTTTTCCGTATAAATTCTTTGATAGTTTGAGAATTTGTGTGAACCAAATGAGCATTAAGACTCTTGGGATATCTTAGTCTAGACAGTAAAAGTGAGAAAATAAGTCAACAAGAGTAGTATCTAAGATATGCACTTCTCCAACCCAAGTTCCGTTCCAAAATATAAGGTATATTTGTTTTCTAAAAGTCAAACTTCTTAAGTGTTGAGCAAATTTACAACGAATATATCAATATCTGTAAAATTAAATCAGTATTACTAGATTCATCATGAAAAGTCTTTTCATTATTTATTCATTTAGTATTGTAGATGTTTGTATTTTTGGCTGTAAACTTGGTCAAAGTTACAAAAGTTTGACTTTTCAAAAAACTAGTACACCTTATATTTTGAAAAAGATGGAATATTGATGATAGTTATGCCATCGACTCATATGATGTTACAAGAACAAGGACTACAATCATGCTAGGCCATCCATGCAATTCAAAAGAGAAAAGTTGTTACATAGTTACTACTACAAATATGTGTCTCGCTAGGAGACTACAAACAACTCATGGAAGAAGAATACACATCTTTTTGGAAAAGGAAGAAGACTAATTTATATCTACTAATGGCGTTCAGTAGATTGGATCTCCTTTCTGTATATTTATCTGTGCTCTATGTTGCCACCAAAACCCCTCAATTTGTAGAAGAATGGCGTCTAAAGTCAAAGACAAAGCTTGCAATGGAAGGGGGCCGATTTCAGTGGGCACCACTAGCGGCATAAGTGGGTGGCCAACCCGGACTCCTCTCCAACCACCTCTCACTCGAATAGAATTTCTCCTATCTCCATGGATCGCTCATGTGCGTGTTTTCCCTATTTTTCGTGAAGTTTTCTATCGAATGGAAAAGATATGTTGGGTTTTAATCGCAAATAGTGAACCAGTCGATAAAATCATAAAAATATAGAAAAATATTTTATTAGTCTTAAAAAATTATGTTTTCACCGTATTAGGGTGAAATCTATGACAATTTGATCTCACGTGAGTTGGGATACAACCCTACTATTCACCCAACTAATAGTTGGTTGGTTCTCAAAAAAGTCAAATAATTTTGTCTGGAGTCTTGTGCAATCTAGATAGAAAATTCATGCAACATGTGTCTTCGGTTCTCCGATCTATGTTGTTCGGTTCAAAATTTATACCACTTCTGGTTTTTCCAGCCACCAAACAAATTAGATAGTGAGTACAGGCATACATTATCACCGATTATATCTCGCGCGGTTTAGGGAATGTACAATGGTGTTATCTTAGTTTTACATATGGTACATGCTAATGAGGAGGGGAGAGAAACCGTAAGAAAAAAGCTTGTCTTCTCTTAGTTAGGAGATGATCATCTTATCGCGGTAGATATTTAGGCATATCTAATTATCACAGATAAACTAAGAGATAACCAATGTACACGTATTTATATTGCCATTTAAACTATGAAGTAGGATTAAGATAAGACTGTCTTATCAATTATTTCATATGCTTTTAGGGCGTGTACAATGGTGCTATTTTAGGAGTGCCATGTAGGGTATATGCTGAGGTGAATGAGGAAGAAATTAGAAGGAAAGAAACAAAAACTTTTCTTCTCTTAATTAAGAGAGGATTCTTAGCAACAAAATTCTCTCATTACATATTTAGGAAGACGGTTTTGCTAATGCACATCCAGATGTGCTAAGTGTTTCACTACTAAGTCCTATGTCATTGATTTTTTACACGAAGATTTGTGTGATTATTTTTAATTGTTTGATTGTTTGCTTTTGCCGGTATGATTGAGTCACTTAGATCTGCAATAATTATCGCCCTAGATAGACCCCTAGGAATACCTAGTTAATAGAGATAAAACTAAGAAATAAATCAGTGTACATCATTTTTTACTATCATCTTTAGATGATGTGACAGGTTTAAGACAAAAACACCTTATCGACCACCGTACATGCCCTTATGAAAATTAGTTTCATCCACTCCTATTCTTTGAGAAGCATCAATCATTGACACTCTCAATGCTATCGACTGCGACTCACATAATGATAACTTCTTAAAAGTACAATTTCTTCATTCTTACATATATCAACCAAAATTTGAAATGCGACAGGAAAACAAATTCTTTTCCTAGCAAGGGCAAAATGTAAATAAGGTGTGCCTACAACCTACCGCGGTACACGCAGAGATGAGACGAACTCATGTTCTTGGCTGAACTGACGTGAGCCATGCTGACCGACTATCAGATTGACCCCTCCATGCCCGTCATCTCCCGCAGGTGGTGCCTCTTCTTCTTGCCTCACCCTCAGTGCAACACGGCATCCTGTGAGGAGCTGCAGCCTCATCTCCACATCTTTCATGGTTGGCCTCTCCTCTCGAGTCAGCCTGAGGCACTCCTCTGCCAACTTAGCCATGCACAGAACCCCTTCATCTCTTCCACCCCCCAGGATCTGCGCGTCCACCGTTTCCTCGAGGAGCCTCTCCCTCATGGCGCACAAGAAGTAGTTTGACAAGTTCTGCTTCTCGCCATGCTCATTCTGGATGATGGGCTTCCTCCTCGTCAGCAGCTCAACAAGTATCACTCCAAAACTGTAAACATCGCTCTTGTCGTTGAGTTGTCCCGTGTAGTAATACTCCGGATCCAGGTACCCAAACGTACCCTGAACGGCGGTGACCAGGTGCGTTTGATCGATGGGGATCAGCCTCGATGCGCCAAAATCCGAGACCTTTGCGGTGTAGCTGTCGTTTAGGAGCACGTTCATGGACTTGACATCTCTATGGAGGACCGACACGGAAGCCGAAAAGTGCAGGTACGTGAGCGTGCCCGCGATCTCGGTGGCGATCCTCAGGCGCTTCTCCCAGGATAATGGCATCAATAAGTTGCTACTGTTTTGCTCGGAGGGGCGGTGCAGAAGGTCGTAGAGCGTGCCGTTGGAGATGAACTCATAGACAAGCAGAGGGACCTCGGATTCGAGGCAACATCCATGAAGCTTCACTACGTTTCGGTGGTTGATCTACGACAAGATGGACACCTCGTTGATGAACTCTTCGATCTCGCTGATCACCGAGAGCGTTGATTTCTTGATGGCCACCACGCGTTGGTCGATCAAGATACCCTTATAGACTGTGCCATGGCCACCCCGTCCGACCACACGGGCTTGATCAAAATTGTTTGTTCCCTTCTCTAGATCCTCCAGGGAGAATATCTTTGTGCCATCGTTGGCACTTTTGTCTGAAGAGATAATATGTTCTAGCAGAATGCCTTTGTTCTTCCGAAAATACCGTTTTCTCGAGCGCTTTTGAATGGCCCGATTCCATCTTCGTGTAAGAATAGCAACAAATACAGCAAGAAATAGAATGCCCCCACCACTGCTTAGTCCAATGGTGATACCTGCAGCCAGTTAAGCAAAAACAATGCAACCGAACAATTCTTTATTTCAAGACATTGATCACACTGTGACAGGATTTCAAGCAGGATAGATCGCTTACCTAATACTAGATGATGCCCCGAGGAATCCTGTTAAAAATGAAGTGCTAAATAAACTAAAACAAAGTAAGAGTATTTTGTATGACTAAGTTAAGCAAAAAAACATGCATGCATGAGTTGAGGAGGTGGCAGGCTTTGCATGAATAAATAATGCAAAAAGTAACTTATGACAAGTTACATGCATGACTTGATGATGTGACATTGTTGCATGAAGAGGAAAATTAGACAGTGGGTTGCGATTATTTAAGAATAGAAGATTACCGAGCTTGTGCATGTGTAGCTCCCGAATTTATTATTGTGGCAAATACCGTTGCAGGTGTATTTATCTGGCTGCAGGCACTCGTTTATATCTGTATTTCGCACATGACATCAGTGGTGACCCAGAGCCGCTATGCTAACCAGCTTAGGCTCTGACGTGACAGAACACTAGAATTTGCATATGCCCCCCAAAAATGTAAACGAATATCAAGAGTAAGTTAAAATAGCTCAAGAGAGATTATACCTGTGCATCCATCTTTAATATAAGGATTCCCTTCAAAACCAGAAGAGCACTTGCAGCGGTAACCTAGAAGTTTGAGTGTTCCATCATCAGTGACATCGATGCAGTCACTGTGGGAGCTCAAGCATTTGTAGTCGCTCTCATTTAGCTGTGCATGCAAGCATGGCATTTTAACAACGGCCCACTTCACCACGCCCCGTTTCCCAGATAAGGCATAGAGCGTCTCCGGATTAGAAAAGAGATCACTTGGCTCTGGTTTCTCGTCAACGAGTAAAATACCTTCGTCAATAGATATGTCACTGACGACCAAACTACCATTCAGTTCAAGCACCGGAAGATCAGTCCCCGGCAAGGCTCGAAGACATTTGAGATAGAATTGTTCAGTTGCAAAGCAGCCTAGCTTTATTCCAAAGGGGAACGGGATGCTCACGTTCCCACACGACATGTCACAATCCTTCTTCGGCTGGATGGAGTCATAAACGACTGTTCAAAGGAGGGAAGATCATGCCAAACGTTTGAGCAGATGAACAATAGATATCAATGACTTTCGAAATACAATTGGTTTATTTTGGCTACCTAGATCCAGTGCTCAATTTATTAAAAAATTAAAAAAGTATCTGCACGTTTCAAATTTTGAGGGTGAACGCCCTTAGCTAATTTAGAGCTGACCTGCCGGAGGAGCGGGAGGCGGTGGAGGTGGCGGAGGTGGTGGAGATGGCCGAGGTGGTTCGTATTCCGGGCACCTGGCATCAACGTAGGGGTTGCCGTAGTCGCCCCACTTGCAAACGCAAAAGTATCCACCCATCGACGAGTCCTTACACTTGATGAGAAAATAGGCAGTTTTTCGATTAAATTAATCCATGAATAAATCATGAGCATGACATGAACAGCATTGATAACATACTGATTATGATCTAACAGAGCATGTACTACGCATATAGTAGAGACATCTACGCATACCGCTAGTACTGCTACAACAGAAAGAAACACGAGAGGGATAAGCAATGTATACCCTCCAATCGGCCACGCGGTAGCGGTGGCGGTGACAGCAGCCGCGGCATCCTCGGCGGCCTTCTTGTCGGCCTCGACTTTCTCAGCGGCGGCACGGTCGGTGTCGGTCGACATGGTGATGATGAAGGTGATGCGGACGTAGATGAACAGAAGCGAGCAGTCGCGTAGTCGCTACCCAAAAACCTAATCGCCCCTCTCCCCGTACAGGATCCGGAGAGGCGTGGTTTCGGAGGCCTGCTCTCCCGTCAACCGTGTACGCGGTGAACGGGACGGAGTCGCCGGCGGCAGCAGCAGCAGAGGAACACGTGGGCGTGGAGGCGGAGATGCGTTCTGTTTTCGTGACGGCTAGGGTTGGCAGCGCCCCACATATATATGTGCGGCCGCGCGTGGAGAGACGTGGGCTGAACCCACGTCCAAGTCGGTAGCCCACGATCCGACGTCTCAGATCGTGGCCCCACCTGTCAAAGACTCTCCGTTCCTGACCGGCAAAAAGAAGCGCATAGGAGTGAGCTCGGCTCGGCTCAATCCCGCAACCCGCGGCGCGTCGTGACGAGGCGTGGCGTGGCGAGGCGAGCGGAGGAGGAGGAGTGCGCGAGGGCCTCATCTCTTCTCAAGCTCCAATAGCATGAGGGAGAGAGTCCCTTATAAACCACTCCAACTCTCCTTCCACTTCCAAGGTGGGACTAAACTTCCCACACACCTAGTGCCATATAACCCACATGGGCCCTTAGAGATTTTTCAGAAATTGCAATATGGGCCTAGAGCCCACCTCAGATTTCAGCAATCCCCCACCAGATCTCGAGGGCCCATAGTGTCCTCTGTTCCAAATACTGTTTTGATATACTAGTGTTTCAGTGAAGACCTGTTAAGGTTGAGCTTCACCTAGAGCAAGTAGCTACATTCCTTCACAACTGAACAATGGACTATGCCTTGAATTGTCAGTTTGGCGTAAAGAAGTTTCACCACATGTCTTACTAGTACTGGGCTGCCGAAGGCTGACCCCTCGGGTGGAGCATATAAGTCACACTCCTGGCCTATTCATGAGTTTACTAGAGATCACCCCAATCTCATAGACTGTGACTAGCAGTCGGGCTCACATAGGTGTGTTCCTCCAAAGATCTCTCTGTAGGATAGCATCTTGCTTATACATATAAGCCTTGGAACACATTAAGACAATAGTCATCCTTCCGTACAGTTTCCGAGAGTATTGCATCTCCAACGGAGTGGGTTAGTAAAGTTACTCTCCTCAGTTCACCACTGGCTTGTTTCCCCAGGTCCTACTTCACGGGATCTCCGATCACATAGGTTGGGTTACCACCATGGTAACTCATGTGGGTCTCATACCCATCTCCCTCGATGCACTATCTATCACTACACGTGATAGCCCTTTCGTAAAGGGATCTGCCAGATTCTTAGCCGTATGGACATAGTCCAACGCTATCACTCCGGAGTCTCTTAATTTTCTGACAGCTTTTAATCTCATTCTTATGTGTTTGGTGGACTTCATGTTGTCCTTTGAACTCTTCACCTTGGTGATGACAGTCTGATTGTCACAGTTCATAAGGATAGCCGGAACCGGTTTATCAACCAATGGCAAGTCCATCAAAAGATCTCGAAGCCATCTCGCTTCAACACCAGATGTGTCTAATGCCGTTAATTCTGCTTCCATTGTCGATCTCGTTAAGATCGTTTGCTTGCAAGACTTCCAGGAAACAGCGCCACCTCCAAGAGTAAACATATACCCAGTTGTGGCCTTCATCTCATCAGCATCAGAGATCCAATTCGCATCACTATACCCTTCAAGTACCGATGGGTATCCGGTATAGTGAAGTCCATAGTTCATAGTACCTTTCAGATAGCGCATAACTCTCTCAACAGCATGCCAATGTACATCACCCGGTTTGGAAACAAACCGGCTCAGTTTGCTCACAGCAAACGCGATGTCAGGCCTCGTTGCGCTCGCTAGGTACATCAGTGAACCAATGATTTGAGAGTATCTCAATTGATCTTTAGCCATGCCTTTGGACTTTCGAATCAATACGCTAGGATCATATGGTGTTTGAGATGGTGTGCAGTCCGAATATCCAAAACGACTCAAAGTTCTGGGATTGCAGAAGTGTGATCCCACCCTCATTATCTCTCAGTAGCTTGATGTTCAAGATAACATCAGCCACACCAAGGTCTTTCATCTCAAAGTTCTGAGATAGAAACGATTTGACCTCCTCAATGACTTTGAGGTTTGTTCCGAATATCAGTATGTCATCAACATACAAGCACAGTATAACTCCTTCGCCCCCACCATGGCGATAGTATACACATTTGTCAGCCTCATTAACAACGAAACCAACAGATGTCAGAGTTGTATTAAACTTATCATGCCATTGCTTAGGTGCTTGTTTCAGGCCATATAAAGATTTTATCAACCTACACACCTTTCTTTCCTGACCATCTATCACAAAGCCATCAGGCTGTTGCATGTAGATTTCCTCCTTTAGCTCTCCATTTAGAAAAGCCGTCTTAACATCCATCTGATGGACGAGAAGACCATGTGAGGCCGCCAACGAGAGTAATACTCGAATGGTGGTCAGTCTAGCCACATGTGAATAAGTATCAAAGAAATCTTCCTCTTCTTGCTGGTCATAGCCCTTGGCCACAAGCCTAGCCTTGTACTTTTCAATCGTACCATCGGGCCTAAGCTTCTTTTTGAACACCCACTTACATCCCAGTGGTTTGCAACCATAGGGACGGTCAGTGATCTCCCATGTCCCGTTAGCCATGATGGAATCCATCTCGCTACGGACCGCATCCTTCCAGTAGTCAGCTTCTGGAGAGGCATACGCTTCTGAAATAGAAGTGGGAGTATCATCCACGAGGTACACGAAGAAATCATCACCAAAGGTCTTTGCAGTCCTTTGTCTCTTGCCCCTACCAAGGGTTTCCTCGTCATCCTCCTCGGGATTTTCATCATGTGTTTGTTCATAATATTCCATAGGGATGGCAGGTTCAGGAGTCTCCTCAGATTCCTGTCTAGAAGTGCTTTGCATATCTCTCATAGGAAAAATATCCTCAAAGAATGTAGCATCCTTAGACTCCATAATTGTACCGATCTTCTGGTCAGGTACCTCAGATTTCACTACTAGAAATCTATAGCCAACGCTGTTCTTAGCGTAGCCCAAATTAATGCAGTCCACGGTCTTATGTCCAAGCTTACGCTTTTTGGGGATCGGCACGTTGACTTTTGCCAAACAGCCCCAAGTGCGCAGGTACGAGAGTGTCGTCCTTCTCTTTGCCCATTTCTCATAGGGAGTGATCTCACTATCCTTTGTCGGAACTTTATTCAGGACATGACATGCCGTCAATATAGCCTCCCCCCACCATGCCTTGGATAAACCCGATGTATCTAACATGGCGTTAACCAAATCAGTTAGAGTACGGTTTTTCCGCTCGGCAACCCCATTTGACTGGGGTGAATAGGGAGGCGTCCTCTCATGAATAATGCCGTGTTCCGCACAGAAGGAATCAAACTCACTCGAGAAGTACTCTCCACCACGATCTGACCGGACTCGTTTAATTTTCTTTTCAAGTTGATTTTCAACTTCTGCCTTATAGATTTTAAAGTAGTGTAGAGCCTCATCTTTAGTATTTAACAGATACACATAGCAATATCTAGTGGAATCATCTATCAATGTCATGAAATATCTCTTTCCACCTTTAGTCAACACACTATTCATCTCGCAAAGATCAGAATGTATGAGTTCTAATGGTGCCAGGTGTCTCTCCTCCGCGGCCTTATGAGGCTTGCGAGGTTGCTTAGCTTGCACACATGAAAGGCACTTAGAACCTTTGGCTAAAGTGAAACTCGGGATTAAATCCAACTTGGCTAGCCGCGTCATAACACCGAAACTTATGTGACAAAGACGTGAGTGCCAAACCTCAGATTCATTAATACTCGAATGAATATGGTTCACGACTTTATTACAGAAATCTGCGAGGGAAAGGCGGAACATCCCTCCGCTCTCATAACCTTTTCCAACAAATAGTCCATACTTAGTAACAACTAATTTATTAGACTCGAATACCAACTTAAACCCTTCTCTACATAGAAGGGAGCCACTAACGAGGTTCTTCTTGATGGCGGGGACATGCTGCACGTTCTTCAGCTGCATGATCCTTCCCGAAGTAAACTTCAGATCGACCGTGCCAACACCATGAACAGAAGCACTCGCGCCATTCCCCATCAATACGGACCCGTGGCCTGTGACCTGGTAAGAAGAGAACAATGAAATGTCAGCACACACATGAACACCTGCACCTGTATCCACCCACCAGTCGGTAGGCTGAAACACTGAAAAAACAGTAAATAAATTACCGTACCCAGATGCACCATTCTCATTGTTGCTCACAATCATGTTGACAGACTTGGAGTCCTGTCCTGACTTCTTAAACTTGTTTGGGCACTTGTTGGCCCAATGTTCAGCCGAACCACAAGTAAAGCAGCCCTCATCCTTCTTGTTCTTCTTGAAGGTCTTCTTACCCTTCTTCTTAAAGTCGGCAGTCTGTTGGACACCGTTCTTTCCCCTGGGCTTGTGGGAATTGGAGTTCTTCTGATGCACCATATTGGCCACAGAAGTTCCTTCGACCCCTTTTCCGTGCGAGTCCTTTGCCCTTGAGTTCTGCTCAACACTCAGATGGCCAATGACATCCTCCACAGAGAATTCACGCCTCTGATGTTTCAGAGTGGTGGCAAAGTTCCTCCAGGAATTGGGGAGCTTAGCGATTATGCAGCCCGCGGCAAATTTGCCCGGTAACTCGCACTTAAGAAGCTCAAGCTCCTTAACAATGCATATTATCTCATGAGCCTGCTCCAATACAGGACGGTTTTCAACCATCTTGTAATCGTGGAACTGCTCTATAATATACATCTCGCTCCCTGCATCGGCAGCCCCGAACTTAGATTCGAGCGCCTCCCACAAGTCCTTGGCAGACCGCATATGTAAATATGCATCAACCAGCTTATCTCCAATCACGCTCAGAACTGCCCCGAGGAACACCACGGTGGCCTCCTTAAACGCCTTCTCCTGTTCAGGAGCGATCGTTCCTGTAGGAGTCACACCGGCGACCCAGAACACGTTCATGGCCGTGAGCCATAAGGTGGTTTTAGTCTGCCAACGCTTAAAGTACGTCCCCGTAAACGGGGACGGTTTCAGTGCAGCAGCAAAACCAGAATTCGAAAAACTCCTACAGATATTAGGTTTTTGGATTGATGAGAAAATAGGCAGTTTTTCGATTAAATTAATCCATGAATAAATCATGAGCATGACATGAACAGCATTGATAACATACTGATTATGATCTAACAGAGCATGTACTACGCATATAGTAGAGACATCTACGCATACCGCTAGTACTGCTACAACAGAAAGAAACACGAGAGGGATAAGCAATGTATACCCTCCAATCGGCCACGCGGTAGCGGTGGCGGTGACAGCAGCCGCGGCATCCTCGGCGGCCTTCTTGTCGGCCTCGACTTTCTCAGCGGCGGCACGGTCGGTGTCGGTCGACATGGTGATGATGAAGGTGATGCGGACGTAGATGAACAGAAGCGAGCAGTCGCGTAGTCGCTACCCAAAAACCTAATCGCCCCTCTCCCCGTACAGGATCCGGAGAGGCGTGGTTTCGGAGGCCTGCTCTCCCGTCAACCGTGTACGCGGTGAACGGGACAGAGTCGCCGGCGGCAGCAGCAGCAGAGGAACACGTGGGCGTGGAGGCGGAGATGCGTTCTGTTTTCGTGACGGCTAGGGTTGGCAGCGCCCCACATATATATGTGCGGCCGCGCGTGGAGAGACGTGGGCTGAACCCACGTCCAAGTCGGTAGCCCACGATCCGACGTCTCAGATCGTGGCCCCACCTGTCAAAGACTCTCCGTTCCTGACCGGCAAAAAGAAGCGCATAGGAGTGAGCTCGGCTCGGCTCAATCCCGCAACCCGCGGCGCGTCGTGACGAGGCGTGGCGTGGCGTGGCGAGGCGAGCGGAGGAGGAGGAGTGCGCGAGGGCCTCATCTCTTCTCAAGCTCCAATAGCATGAGGGAGAGAGTCCCTTATAAACCACTCCAACTCTCCTTCCACTTCCAAGGTGGGACTAAACTTCCCACACACCTAGTGCCATATAACCCACATGGGCCCTTAGAGATTTTTCAGAAATTGCAATATGGGCCTAGAGCCCACCTCAGATTTCAGCAACACTCACTGTGATTAGCAACGCATGCATAGCTTGCCCTGTCCTCCATGGCGCGCTTACAGTTCAGCTTGTAGGGAATAGCCCATTCCAGGGTAGCAAATTCGTACTCGAGATATTCCGGCAACATAGATCTCAGGGCGTCGCTCCCATTTTTTAAGATAGGAGTGCACTTTTGAGAACTCGCTCCCGTGCGGCTCCTGCGGCCGCACCGGGGCGCCCAGATCCAGCCGCCAGGGGACCTCCCCTGCCTCCCCACCTCCCCTCGCCGCCGCCGGAGGTCGTCGCCGGGCAAAGCCCGGTGGCGACGGCGGCGGCGGGGCGGTTTCTGTGGTGCGGTCGCTGCGGGCGTGGAGGGGGCTCGGCTGCGAGCTTCGGCGGCGGGGTCGCGTCTTGGCGTGCCGGGGGTGCGCGGTCCTGCAGGGGCAGCTCAAGGCGATGCAGGCGAGGTGGCGGACGAGGAGCTGGACGCGACGGTGCTGACTGGTGGTGGTTGCGGTCTGCAGAGCTGGGCGGCGACGGATCTGGGAGTTCCCGACGCCATCCGGTGCTCTGGATCCGCAAGTTCTGTTATATGGTGAGGAGCTCCGGCGAAAGCACTGCCTTGACCATGGTCAGGCCGACGACGGCGGCGCTACTGGCGTCGTCTACCTTCTTGGAGGCGTCGTTGTGGAGCTCCGTCGACATCATGACGGATTTGGCTCTCCGGATGAAAATCTTTGCCTCGGTCTTCCGAAGCGGGCGGCGGCGGCGTCTACGTCGTGACCTCCTTGGAGGCGTCGTTTGGGAGAGACTGTCGCGAGCGATCTCTTCACCACCAAGGCGCCGCGCTTCCCCCTCGCCTCCCCTCCCTCCGCCGCCGCCTGAGGGCCTCCGAGGAGGGTTCTCGGCCCCAATGATGGTGGCGGCGGGATCTGGCGCCTCCTCTCAGAGGGCCTTAGCTCCCCGAGGCGGCGGCCCCGGCCGATGGGCGCGGTGCAGCCGGCGGGCTCTGGTGGGCAGCCTCCCACGGCCACGGGCGGTGTGGGGGCTGCGGACGCTGGCGCAGTGGCGGTTCCTCGCAATCCGTCATGGCTCCATGTAGAAGATCCGCCCCTGCTTCGATCTGTCCCGATCCGTGCTGGCGCCGGTCCTTGCGCCCCTATGGCCGGCCTGGCGGATCTGGCGTGCGGGTGAGGTTCCGGGGGAAACCCCTGGCTGGCGCGGCAGCCTCCCCAAAGTCGACGCCTTTGGCGCCGATCCCCTTCCTGAAGGCTTTGGGCTGGATCCTCTCCCTTCCGCCTCCTCCTCGAGCTATGGCGAAAGCTTTTGTTCCCCTGGTCTGGGCGTCGACGGCACCCTGGTGTCGTGCTCCTTCTTGAAGGCGGCGGCTGGGAACAACTCTTGGTGGCGGGGCTGCTGGTGGCGTGGTGGCGGTGCGCTTCGGCCTTCTACTTGGTGCTGCGCCTTGCTTCGCGGGACCAGCGGACGGTTTCTTTGGTGGAGCGGTGCTTCATCCATACATTGATGGCGACGGATCTTGACGGCGTGGCGCAGTGCAGATTCGGAGTTCGATGTGGGAGGATGGACTCGCGCAGGAGGACGACGCTGTCTGGCGTCGTGGTGACGTCGATGGCAGAGAGATCTGGCATGGTAGATGCAACAGTACAGCTCTAAAGATGGACTCGTGGCAGGTGGCTGCGGCGGCCTCATACCCGGCAGGCGTCCTGGTTGAGAAGTGCGCCGGACTGGTAGGTGCCCCATACCAGGCAGGCGTCCTGGTTGGGACCTCAGGTCTTAGATGTTTAGGTTTGGCTGCGATGTCTGTTTGGTATTAGGCCCAGACTATCAGCGCTCCTTCATCATTTGGATAGGCGTAGCGACAGTTGTTGCTTAGACGGTGGCTTTAGTCTTGCTGTTGTATTACCTTGTAAGATCTTGCGAGAATAATTAATAAAGTGGCCGTATGCATCGTCCAAATGCAGAGGCCGGGGGTCATCCTCCTTTTCTAAAAAAAGATCTCAGGGCGTCAATCGGCCAGAATATTTGGTCCTTACCACCTCCGCTGATGAACGCGTACACCTCCTTCGAGCGAGCAGAACCGCTGGTGCGTGAGATGTTGAGGGTGAACGCCCTTAGGTTCACCCGTATGTCAATGAAACAGCATCCGATGCCATCGCATACACCCTTGGGCAGCTTCTCCATGATTCGAGCTTCGGCACAGACGACGGAGCAATTCCCGACCTCAACGGTTGAGTTGCCGATGAACAGCGAGGCCTTGACGCCGCAGCCAACGACGAACAACATGTTTAACGAGCCAGACATGGCAAAGTGCCGGGCCGGAGCTTCCCAGTGAACAGAGTAGTCGCGGACACCGGGAATCATCTTCACGGTGTAGGAGATCCTGGCGCACAGGTAGTTGTAGGCGTACGAGATATTGGCGTACAGGTTGTTGGAATCAAAGATGTCAAAGCTCTCGATGGGTAGGTTGCCCAGCATGGGGTAACTGGTGTTGTCCGCACAAGTGAGGCTGAAACCAGGTAAAGAGCATGACGGACCTAATCCAAACGGATAAGGTATCTCACCAACCATACCACAGGTGTCGGAGCAATTTCTTGTAGCCGTGGCCACCGCGGCAGTTGTTGCCGACGGCAACACGAGCACTGCAAGCACCAGTGATGCCATGGCCGTGCTCATCTCTTGTATATCTATACTATAGGGTTTCTTTGTCTGTGTTGGATAGTATTGTGCAGGCCGGTGCTTCAACTTCTTAAACATGGTAGTAAACGATAAGAATCTGCCGGTCGGTAATAAAACTCATGCATCCCCCGCTTCTCTCTCGCGCCACATGTCCGTGGGCTTCGCGTATCGCTCGCCTCCACATCAGCTTTATCTCCTCACATCCCTTCTCAGTCACTCCCCTCCCCAGCAACCTCATCCTCTCATCTCTCTCTCGCGCGCGTTTTCTTCTCCTCACCTTCACCTGCTCACCACCGTCAGCCCCGCCTGTTAGATATCCAAAAAATACTCTGCTCACATCATCAGGTAGTACTTGTTTGGATGATGATGATGGGAAAAGCAATGAATCTTAGATAAGATATTTACTTACTGGGTGTGGATAAGATTTAACCAAGTATTCGTTAAGTGACAGAACATATAAAAAAGAAAGAAAAATCTAATTGTTTTTGCACGAATCTTCATGGTTAAATCTCAGTCAACTGAGATTTAGCAATCTCGTTAATGCTAATTATTTGCAACATCACATAATTGAGGCGATTGTGCCGTGTAAATCAAATCCTTATACACAACCTTATAACACAAAGAACATTTTGTATATGGGCAAAACTATCTTCTTTTTTTTTGGAAAAGGAGGCGTGCCCCCGGCCTCTGCATCTAAATGATGCATGCAGCCATATTATTAAAAGTCTTGAAAAACAAATAGTATCCAAAGTATTACAGCTCGCAAAAGGAGCACGATGACAAAGCCATAAAAGACCTTAAGATTACAACCGATGATGATAACATGACTAGAGACCTAAACTCCTATCCTGTTAAGCGACCGCCATCCAAATCGGTTGAATATAATCCGTGCTACCATCTCCCATTGGTTGCACCCAGTGACCAGCAGCTTCCTGGATTCCGTAGGAGTGAGTAAGGACCACGTACGGATCCATGCAGTAGCTCTGAAGATAACCTGCAAGAAATTTAAAAATTGTTGCTTGTTAAAGATCATATCGTTCCTGCAGTTCCATATAGCCCACAAAAAAGCACATATTCCAACTCGAATATGACTCGTAGTATTGCGATCCACCCCATCTAACCACGTCCCAAACAACGATTCAATGTTAATTGGAGGGGCAATGTTGAAAGCTATATGAATAGTGCGCCATAAAAGTTTAGCCAAAGGACAATCGATGAAAAGGTGTTGTATTGTTACATTATTATCACAAAAACAACATCGTGAGCTGCCTACCCAATGTCGTTTTAACAGATTGTCTTTGATGAGATCACTTGTTTATGTACGAATCACATGAAAATTTTGATACGCAAGGGGACCTTAACTTTCCAGATATGAATGGATCTCGGGAGGAAGCCAGAGTTAATTAGGTCCAAATAAAATGATTTGACCGTGAATGAGCCATTCTTGGTCAGTGTCCAATGTAAGGAATCCGATTTGTCGGTTAATTGTACATCCATCACTTTCCGTACCAGATGTATCCATGAATTCCATCTCTCCCCAACCAAAGATCACCTAAACTGAATATTTAGATGTACCGATTGTAATATCGTGCCAACGTAATCTTCCTTACGTTGGACAATATTATATAGACTTGGATATTGAACAGCTAAGGGCGTCTCCCCTGGCCATGTATCCTCCCAAAATCGTGTTGACATCCCATTGCCAATAGTGAATTTGGTTCTACGAAAGAATAAGTCTTTAGTTCTCATTAGGCCCTTCCAGAAAGGCGAATCGGATGACCTCGCATTAACTTGTGCTAGAGTTTTGGACTGTAGATATTTGTTTCGTAAAATTTGTGCCCACATCCCGTCATTCTCTACCGAAAGCCTGAAAAGCCATTTGCTTAAAAGACATTTATTTTTTATCTCTAGATTCTCAATGCCGAGACCCCCCTGATCCTTAGGTCGACATAATATATCCCAGCGAGCTAAGCGGTATTTCTTCTTGGCCTCATCAGACTGCCAAAAGAATCGAGATCGGAAGAAGTCTAGTCTCCTTCGTACCCCTTTAGGTACCTCAAAAAAGGAGAGCAGAAACATCGGCATACTTTTCAAGACAGAGTTAATGAGTACTAGTCGACCACCGTAGGACATTAACTTGCCTTTCCAACAACTTAACTTCTTTTCAATTCGGTCCTCGATGCACTTCCACTCCTTAATGGATAATTTCCGATGATGAATAGGTATGCCCAAATAGCTAAAAGGCATTGACCCTAGTTCACAACCGAACAAATTTTTGTAAGTATCTTGCTCATCTTTGGCCCTACCAAAGCAAAATAACTCACTTTTGTTAAAGTTTATTTTTAGTCCCGATAATTGCTCGAATAGACATAAAACCAATTTCATATTCCGAGCTTTTGTAACATCATGCTCCATGAATATAATAGTGTCGTCTGCGTATTGTAGAATCGATACTCCACCATCCACCAGATGGGGAACTAAACCATCTACTAGGCCATTCTCCTTAGCCCTGCGAATAAGCACAGTCAACATATCTGCCACTATATTAAACAAGAACGGAGACATCGAATCCCCTTGCCTCAACCCCTTGTGTGTCTGAAAATAGTGGCCTATATCATCGTTAACCTTAATATCGACACTACCTTTTTGGACAAGAGAATCCACTTGGCTCCTCCAAGCTTCAGGAAAAACCTTTCATGCACATAGCTTGCTGAAGAAACATCCATTTCACTTTATCATAAGCCTTTTCGAAATCCACTTTAAAGATAACCCCATCTAGTTTCTTCGAATGGAGTTCGTAGATCGTTTCATGTAGAACCACTACCCCTTCTAGGATGTGTCTACCAGGCATGAAGGTTGTCTGACTCTCTTGAACCACAGAATGGGCGATCTGCGTCAGCCGATTTGTCCCCACCTTCGTGAATATCTTGAAACTCACGTTTAAGAGACATATCGGCCTAAACTGCTCGATACGAATCGCCCCTTCTTTCTTTGGTAATAGAGTAATCGTACCAAAGTTTATATGGAACAGTTCTAGATGCCCATTAAACAAATCGTGGAACATAGGCATCAGGTCATCTTTAATGATATGCCAACATTTTTTATAAAACTCCGCTGGAAACCCGTCTGGTCCCGGTGCTTTATTCGGTTTCATTTGTGTTATGGCATCCAGAACTTCCTTTTCAGTGAAAGGCGCAGTTAGGAACTCATTCTGTTCTGTCATGAGCTGAGGAATATCTCCAGTGTCAGGCTCATTCATGGACACCGTGCTCTCTGCCGATGGCCCGAATAATTGTTTATAGTAATTGGAGATATATAGTTTAAGGTTTTCATGACCTACAATGGTTCCTTCATCCTGCTCAAGCTGAATTATTTTCTTCTTTCTATGTTTGCCATTTGCAATCATATGAAAGAATTGTGTATTATCGTCTCCATGAACAACCTTGAGAGTCTTAGCCCGTAATGCCCATTTGAGTTCCTCTTCTCTCATAAGGACTCGTAGGCTTTGTTCCGCTTCAGATTTCATGGCCTGTTCATTTACGTCTAGCAGTGTCCCCTCTGCTTTAATGTCCAGGGAATCAATTAGTTGAAGGAGACTTTCTTTCTCCTTTTTGTAAATGCCACTCTCGTTCCTTGCTCAACCCCTAAGAAATTGTCTTAGATGACGGATCTTGTTGTGCCATCTCTCCATGCTTGTGTGTCCAGCAATAGGCTTTGACCATTCACGCGCAATGATGGCCAAAAAGTTTTCTTTTTCAAACCAGCTTAGTTCGAAACAAAACAAATTCTTATTACCGGTATGGGTTGCCTCTCCCGAGTCCACGAATAACGGTGTGTGGTCTGCGACTGCCCTTTGCATCGCATGAACCGACACCAATGGGTATTTCTGTTCCCATTCAATACTAGCCAGAACCCGATCCAACTTCTCATAAGTCGGAATAGGTAGCGAATTAGCCCAAGTGTATTGTCTTCCAGTAAGCTCAATCTCCCTCAAATTGAGGCTTTCGATGATCATATTAAACATAAGGGACCATTGCCCATCGAAGTTATCGTTGTTCTTCTCATCTCGCCACCGTATAATATTTAAATCTCCACCAACTAAGATGGGAAGATTTTCATCTCCACATATCCTGACTAAGTCAGCTAGGAAATCTGGTTTGAGTTCGGGTTGGGCTGCTCCATACACAGCGACAAGCGACCAACGGAAGCCATCTAACTTTGATCTCACCCGAAACTTAACCGCAAAATCTCCCCTGACCACATTTAGCACCTCAAGTGTTTCACATCTAACCCCTAGTAATATCCCACCAGATCTTCCTCTAGGGGGTAGACAGTGCCGGTCGAAAGCAATTCCACCAGACAGAGTTCTGAGGAATTGTGAGGTAAAATTATCTCTACCGGTTTCGAGTAGTGCAATAAAATCGAGCTTGTGTTCTACCGATGTATCTGCAAGGAACCTTCTTTTAGCCAAGTCAGCTAGACCTCTGCTATTCCAAAAGATTCCTCTCATAGGTCGTCGTGGAATTTCTTTTTAAGTTTAATCCTAGTACTCCTCCGAACAGCCGAAGTCGGATATATCTTCCTTCTCCAGGACCGTTTGAGTTTACCCTCTATATTTAACGTACCTACGTCAACTGGGTGACTGGGGATATAATCTGCCGCCGGCATAAGCTCTACACTGTCCTCAGTGTCCGAACCTAGTGGGTCCCCATCGATCTGCGAGGGTGGCATTAGATTATCACATAAATTTTGTATAGCCAAAATTCCTAATTGATTCACTTCATCATTATTCATTGGTTCAACGGCCGCCAAATTTCGAATAATATCAGAGGCCTGCTCTGCTTCTAAGTCTAAAAGGTCATTAATCGATTTCGCAACTTCCTTTGCGTTCGATCCTAAAGAAACTCCTATGTTGTTGGATTTATCTAAAATATCATGCTCTCAAAAATGTAAGATAGAAGGACTCTTATGTACCGACATACCTG